GGCAACAGTGTGGGGGCTGGGGGGGGCTTTGGGGGCTGGAAGAGGTTATAGGGAAGGTAAAAAGTGATGGAAAAAATAATGAAAAATAATGAAAAACAATTCACAAAAAATAGTGCGGCATTTAGAGCTCAGCTTTTGATGAAAATCTTAGTTCTGCTTATTAGCAGTGTGAACCTGGACGTGCTATTTACTGTCTCTGGCCTCAGTTTCACCTGCAGGGCAAGGAGTACAGCACCTACCTCGTTGGGTTGGGAGGAAGAAATGAAAATATGCCTTGTACACTGTAAGTGCCGGAATGAAAAATAAAAACAATGATGGCTCCCATTCATAGCGCCCAACTCTTTCCACTCTGAAGTGAGGGGTGGCAACACCCCACATTCCGTAGTGACTACCTCACAGCCTCAGTGCCTACTGGAAACAAGGTCAGGCTAAAGGTCTAAGGCATGTCAGTCCTGATAATTAACTGCCAACAGAACTAGAGGAAGGGTAAACACCCCACAGGTTCACAGGTGGCATGTGGATTTTTAAAAAGAACAGATTCATTCGGATTTAGTTTTCAGTAAGCTGGAATAAGCGGACCAGTAGGAAAGAGGAAGCAAACATGCTTTGGGACCATTCCTGTAACAGCTGTTGAGGTGCGTTGATGTGGGTGCACCCGGACCACCTACTCTCTTGCAGGTGTTAGTACAGGAAGAGCAGAGGCAGTTGGACCTTCGTCACTTAGGTTTCCATGTCGCTTAGGTTTCCGTCAATCTGCACTCAGGCCCTCCACCCATTTCCTGCCCCTTCTCAGGCTCCCCTTCTGCCCTGAAGTGCTACACACACACCCCTCCTGTTCCTTCCTCCCTGGTCCCTGGCCCCTCTCTCCTGGGCCCAAGGCAAGTTCCCACCATGCTCGGTTCATCCCAGACCTGCCTCTCAGACCCTCGAAAGCATGATGTCCAAGAGAACTCATCTTACTGAACTTGCACTTCCACGGCCACATCACCGCAGGCCTGGTTCTCCCGGGCCTTTCACATCTGCTATAGGCTCCTGCACACTGGGGCTTTATCATGCTCATTCCTGTAGCCCCAGTGCTAGAGCAATGCCTGGTCTACTGCAGGGCTCAGTAAGTATTTGTGGGGTGCCCAGGTTGGGGACAACAAATGCTCTTAGTGCCCAGCAGTAGCACCTGCATCCATGGCCACAGCATAGCCTCATCTTGCCAATCAATTACCCTTTTGTCTTCTTTCCTCTCTCTCACCAACTGCTTCCCCAGCAATACCTCTTATAAAATAATATGAGACATTACTTTGCACATTTAAATCTTCGGAAATAGTAAGGAGCCTAAGTCTGATACAGTTTTTCACATACTCTAATAATCCTCCCGACTCAATAAGCAGAAAAAGGGAACAGAAAGTCAGAATTGCATATAGAATTCAATTTTTTTTCTTTCAAAGACACATTTTATACAATTTTCAACATTTAGACTTTCAAACAAAATGAGCCAAAAATACACCGAGCGCTAAAAAAAATCAAAACAGAAGTAATACAATTTTAATTTCAATATTTTAAAATACAGAAATCGGAAAGTAAGAATATCAAATACAACTTTAAACAAGTCACTGTCCTCCCCTCTAATAGCCAATTAAACTATTTAAAGACTTACAAATTTAAAACAGAAGCAAAATAAATACTGTACACTTTCCCTGCCTGCAGGCAAAAGATGGGAAATACTGTTACGAGTCGAAAAAAATGCTCTTTAAAGCTTCAGCATCCCGCTTCCCAGACACACCCCGCTCTGCAGTCACACAGTGCACTTCTGTATTCAAAGGACACACATGTGCACACACGCTGACCGCCTATACAAACAGACGAGACACTACTCCGCAGACACCCCCAACAAGAATGGGTACCAGTCACCTTGGACCATGGGCGTAAAAATCAGTTCAGAAAAGTCAGTCAGGCTAGCAAAACATTACTACAAAACTAATAAATACCATAGCCAACAACTGTCCCCTTCTCAAATTTCACAGATCTGAAACCCCTACAATCAATACTACCCCTCCCTATCACCTCCCTCTACCCCTCCAAAAAAAAACAACAAAAAACAACCTGCTGAAGCACTGGCAAAGTTAGACACTTCACAGTAAATGTGAAAATTCATATTATATAATCTCTTCAAATGAACCTTTCACCCTCTTTCCACAGCATGAAACTGTTATGGCTTAGTTTATATTAAAAGTAGAAAAGTCTTTTCGGAAGGAAATACAGTCTGCGAAGTTGCGCGTGCATTTCCTGATCAGTGCGATTTCATACCTAACAACTGCATGACTTGCGCTTGCAGTCAGAAGCTATTTTGGGAAAAATTGAGGTTATAGCTTTTGATTCAGTCTAACCATAAATGTAAGGCCCTTAGTTTGGTTTAGGTTTCTTTTGCAAGATAAAATAACCTTGGGGTTCACTTAGCAAGTGACGCCTCAGGTCCCTGACTATAATGTGGAAGTTATATGTATGCTTTCTAAAAATATAAGGTTAGTTATGACTCTTCAAGGGAAGAAATGATTCTAGGCAAGGAATTAACTCCTCATGATATACTCCACTTAATACTGGTAACTGTTATCAACCAAAATCTACCACAGAAATATGAGTATGTCTGGGTTATTTTATTCCTGCAAAATGTGATATATTCCAGCACTTATGAGCATTGTTTTGGTGAAAAATCTTGGGGGAAAACAGCTGACACTCTGAAAAGAAAATGGCCAAAATAAAACTGGGTTGGGGCAAGGTTTATCTTTATGATTAAGTTCCACTTAGGACTGCTTTCTGAAATGAGGAAAAGTGAGTTCAGAATGTCACAGGTCTTGCATAGGTAACTACTTGGAGGTCAAGGGCTACGTGGTAGCCAGGGTTTATTAGTGAAATAGTGCAGAGCAGATCGACTTGTTGAAAGAATCACTGAATACAGTTTTCAAAGGGTTTTAACAAAAATTTAGTTGCACTTGTTAAGACAAAGCTTTAGGACACTAGAGAGGGCACCAAGGGTGAGAGGGAGACTCTACAGGGTAGAATGCAGGTAAACAGGCATTATTTTCCCCTACCCATTAAGGGGGGGGGGGGAGTATAAAAGAGTAAAACCACAGTCAAGCACAATAAGCTGATTGCTTTGGAAACAGGCATTTGCTTCTTAATGACCTTAATTTTAAAAAATTTGTTTCTGTAAGGGATATAAAATATTTGACTTTTATGTCATGATGTTCACTGCAGAACAAATGAAAGTAAGGGCAGGGTTTTTGTAAGGCTACAGTATCAAAATTACTTTAGTCCACCAGCAATGTAGTGAGTACATCGCTTCTCCTTTCTTTCCACCTGGCTTCTAGCAAGCGTATCAGCATCACCGCCAGGACGAGCAGGGGCTGCACAGCGTCACAGAGAGGGGCTGTGGTAGGAAGCAAGGTCCCAGAGCTCTGGGGTCCACTGTGACCCCAGGCGGGTCACTGCCCTATCTGGGTTTCATTTGTCTCCTTTACCAGCAACACGTTTTTCCTAATGATCTGATGCTCAACCTTCTCGAGATTGCTTTAGATGAAGGCCTAGGGCATCTGAAAATGACTGATCTTTAGCTTCTCTTTTTGGAGGGAGCAATAGGCTAAATACTTAACGAGAAAAATGAATTTTTGAAAAATTTTCACATTGACATTATTAAGCCTTCATCTCCATGTGAAATCCTAAAAGGCTGCTACACTGCATAGTTACTTCTGGCAGTGGTACACCGAGCGGCAGTTATCCATGAACTCTTTGGGGAGTAGTCTTGTCACTACAGAAAGCATCTCTTGAAAAAAGCAGAAAGAATCTTCCCCTTTGAAGATGTTCCATGCTGTCTCCTTTCCTACACTACCACAGTGGTCTCTCTCTGCCCAACAAGCCATCCGTAGCCAACCCTGAGCTGTCTTTGTTGATTCCCATCTTTGGAACCACCTTAGTTTATGCCCTGGTTCCATGGGTTGTTGCTAAATCATTTTAATTCCATGACTTATTTTACCTCTATCTAGTGCCTGGAGAGTAAGCAGACTCTGTGGAGCAGTACCATCCCAATTCTTCTTTGAGAAAAACCTAAAATTCTCTTTCAAGCACCTTAAGTCATCTTAATGATTCCTTGAGGATGAACATTATCACTCTTATCCATAAACTATTTCACTTTTTCTTTCACTTCAAGCACTAATTTTTATTTTAATTCAGCACCTTCTTAGAGATTCTTCAGGTTTTTTAGGTAGTGTGCTCTGGGCATAGATTTGACATAAAATAAATTTTATGAGTAATGGCAGTTTTAATTTAAAATGCATATAACATGTGCATTAATTATCAGTTGCAACTTAAATGATAAATTAACTGTAAGTATGAAGTGTTAATGGATTAAGAAATGCTTTTCCATGTTTTAACTGCCTTTTTATCCAAACTTACAAATGAGAAAACTAAGAAAGAAGGGTCACACAGCTGGTATAAAAATGGCAGAGCTTGGACAAAAATCCAGGTCTTCTGCTCCCTTACATGCTAAACCATGACTGTCCACTGCCAACATTAAATTATTAACTTCTGAAGTGTTTTTTAAATTTTAAAACATTAAAAAAAATTATTTCCACTTCTACATAGCATAGTATATCACAGAACGAATGAAGTTAATGCTTTTTTAAATAAAAGGGCCCTCTTTTGCTTAAGTTTTTTAGAAGTAAAAATAATACTGCTTATTTCCTGGAGAAGATACCTTCAAGGGCAGAGACCACACTTCAACTTTATATTTCCCCACAGTACTAAGTAGTGCTGGGCACATAGTAGGTGTTTGATAAATACCTGCTGATCGCATAAGAATAAATACAGTAGAGTTCATTAAAAAGGCAATAATCGGGATTATTAAAAAACAGAACAGTATTCAAGCTAAGTATTTAAGTAGTAATAAAGATGGGCTTATTTTCTCTCTGAGTTTATAAGTTGATTTCAGTCAGAATTTTCAGTTTTGTATGCTTTAAAAATTAACTGACACTTATGAAGTTCCATGTATTTCTAGGATACTAAACTATTATAAATGCCTGCTTTGTACTGCTTACATCTCAATACTGGAGAGCATGATATTACATGGCATTATGAGTTACAGTACAGATACTATGTTAACTGAAGCTACTTATTTGAATCAATGCAGGAAAATTATCTACTACTACAATTAAAGTTGCATACGGTAAGTCATAATTCTGTTTTACATATTTGCGTTTGCTTATAATTAGCTAAATGCCACCACTGCTGTCTTCCTAAGTTGCAGTATCTGTGCAGTAGTATTGTTTATAAATGAGATGGAGGGAAAGATGAAAGATTGTTTATTACAGCTGAGTCCAGACACTGGCTGCAGGTACCTCAAGGTTCAGTGTTTCCATGAGATAAAGGGGATGCATCAGAGCCAGTAACTTTATAAGACTAGGTAAGTCACTGGATGGTGGCTGAATTTGTACCAATCCAGAAGAAGATACATGGTTTCTGTTTTAGTGGTTATATTTATTATCTTACTGAAAGTTTTTTTTTTTTAATTTAGCCAGTTAAGGGGCTAAAATTGCCAAAAACAAATCCACAGTACCTTCACTTAAAAGTTCCACACACTGTCTACTTAAAATTAGTATTTATCAGCCTAAGTACACGGTTGTGGATACTGGCCACAATTTTAACTCATAAAAATAAATTGTTTTATTTCATTTTTTATAGTTAAGGGGGGAAAATCAGGTAATTAAAAAACCACTTAGAGCTCTGAAAAATGTAAGAAAACAAAAAACGGGAACCCAGATCATGATGTAACTAAAAAAAAAAAAATTATAGCTCTTATTTCTTAAACCAAAAAAAACCACGTTCTATAAACACTAGAGTGGTGTCTACAGAAAACCAAAACCTCACAGTAATATACTGTGTGGGGAAGGTGGCAGAATCAGTCAAACTCAAGTTTCTTCATTTTGAGGTCCAATCCAATGACTGACTGTGCCCATCCCTTAACTAGTTTTGGCACAGTGTAGAGAGTTTAAGTAGGCCACCTATGGGCATTTAGTATTTCCATAAAATCCTTCCTGACACCAGATAAGATCCAGACTTTGATCCAGTCACTTGGACCAAAAAGGTTAATTCATAAGTTATTTCATATTTACTCCATGAAACACTGGAATAAAGAGTAAGAAATATCTCCCTTTGAAAGTACACACTTGAATGCAACCATGAAAGATGACGGTATAGATTTTTCTCTTAGCACTACACATGATGCTTAATATAGAAGGAAAAGTTCTGTTACCTTGCTGAATAAAAAAAGAATATCCATAATATGGCCATATTTCTTCTCCATAAAAATAAATTTGATCTTATTTGCCTATAGTTTCTTTGTAGGAACTTGTAAAATGCTCTCCTGTCAGAACTGGAAACATGTCCACCCCCACCCCCTGAAATCACTTATTTTTAAGCTGGGGGGGCGGGAAGGAGGAGAAAAGTATTAGCTATAATTAGCAAGGGGCATTTAGTAAAAGTTGTGCATAAAAGAGATACATGATTACTTAAAGCTCAATCAGATACTTAACCTCAGTATGCACTGGCTAAGTTAGGAGAGATGGAAGAAACTGCAAGGAGCACCCATTTTACTCCAAATCCATGTCTTAAATAATTCTTTAGAAGGTTAAGAAATAAAAAACTAAACACACACGCACACACACACACACACCCCACAAAAGATCTACTCCAACATGCTTGCTTCTACACAGGTACTATAGTACAGCCCTATTATATTACGGCTTATTATGCAGAGTTGAGCAGACTAAGTCAAATCTCATTTTCCAACAAATTAGGTACACAGAATAAAAGCATCGTAAAATATAACCTTTGTGGCAGGTGTCAGCCCTGCCTTCCAACACCAGCATATGAAGAAGGCCCTCTGTAGTTACAAATGCATTTGAAAAACTAGAAATGACAATTTAACCAAACTTATAATACTTTTCCCACAAATAGGGAAAAGATATTAAAGCTGTTCTCTTTGGGACCCAGGTCATCAGCAAAAATGAAAATGCAAGAAGCCATTTGTATATTTAGGAAAAAAATCGCAACATCAAACGAAATGAGAAATGTGGGGTCTTTTATGGAGGTCTGACACACTGGCGATGAAGGTGTTTCCCTGCGAAGAGAAGAGTCTTGTTGTGTCGTCACAAATGTCGGGAGTGCGGAGGGGAAGGTGGGATATAAGGTCATCAACCTGGATAACAGTATGCACCTTGGATGTTAGCAAAAGCGAAGCTAATAGCTTATAAAAAACACGAAATATATAAAATAAAATGATTTTCATATACATCTTAATTTAAAATAATTAATGCATCAAATCCCTGTTTAAGACTTTAACCTGAATATCAAATTTAAGAGTCCAGACTAGATACTGTTGCCGTGGCTCTTCCCACATGTAACACACGCACTATCAAAAATAATTTAAAACCTTCACATTCTTAAATCTAAATTAGTGAGATATTTCTCCAGAAATCTTCCAAATAAATAGCTTTAAAAAAGAAAGAATTTAAAAGCTGTTAACTTTAAAAAAAATCTGTTAAATAAATTATCAATAATTCTTTACCCTACCACTGAAAATAAATCAAGAAACTACCAACAACAAATGAAATTCAAGCCCTGACAAGAGACCCGTTTCAGTTCGAGGCCTCCTTTTAAGGTTCTGCCCTCCTCCTCCCCCACCAGGTCCAAAGGTTATTGCTGAGTGGGTGTGGCACAGTGAGAATGCAGCATCAGGTCCCTTTTGTTCTGGTGGCGTCCCCACGGCGGGAGCAGCCCCGCCGACACTGGTGTCCGAGGGAAGAGCGGCCGCGCACTGTCACACGAAGAAGCGTGCGTGGCCGTTCCTGTTCAGCTTCAGGATCTTCCCAAGACGTTGTTTGGCTGTCGCCATTCCTTTTTTCGGACGTTTACCTATAAAACACCAACAACATCGTAAGTAATGGTGACAATCACACTGGCACCCCGACCTGGAAGGCAGGGCGCTGGGGTAGGCAGTCCTTGGGGTGCTCGGAGGGCGGAGCCCCACTCCCGGGATTCCAGTTTACAGCCTGCATTTCACGGAGGGATGAAGGCCGGCCCTCGAGCCTTGTGTGGCCAGCGCGCAGTCGATCCCCACCCGTCTCTGCAGCAAACTGCTTCAGCAACAAAAAGGACTCGGGCGCTGCTTCTCACCTTCATACGGGGTCACACTGTCCCTTCCTGCAATGCTGTCTATCGCCCCACTTCCCCAACTCAGCAGGACTAACCCCTTACCATCCTCCTTGGATCTACCTCCCTGGAGAGCCCCCGGAGAGCCACCGCTGGTCCTCGGGTGGCTCAGCGTCCTGCTGTTCCCACAGAGCCTGAACACCCGCTAGGGCTGCCGCGTCCATAGTGCACCAGGCCGTGGGCACCTGAGTGCGGATATCACCTCTATCGGAACTGCCACTCTCACCGTCACGCACAGTCAGAAACATACTTAGCCTACAAACATGTAAAAGTTACCTTTTGTTGCCTGGTTGCTGATAGGTGGTGGGTTTGATGCAGGTCTCTTGGTGGGGTGGAGGGGCACCGAAAAGGAAGTTTCGCCAGCGGGCCTTTCTGGGCTTCCACTGCCATTACTTATCTGGCATGGCCCAGAAACCAAGCTTGAACTCTGCGAGTACTTTCCATTTGGAGGGCTTGAGCCACTGCTGTCCACAGAATTCCTACTTTGTACCTTTTGCCTGATTTCTGATGAACCTTCCTTTTTGATGCATTTATGGCCTCTACTTAGATCCTGAAGAACAAAAAAAATAAGGCTGAACTATTAGGGTTCCTTTAAGGTAAGTGAAGTAAGTATCCAACTTCTCTATGCATTAGCAAGCCAAGAGAGAGGAAAAATAGACCGCTGCACTTTGGTTTTCTTAACATGTAATAGCCACAGAAGACTACCCACCCTTCATCATGGCCGACTCATTCCGAAACCTAAAAGCTCTGAGGATTCAAGTCTCGAAGATGCATAGTAGCTTAAGTCAATAAGCCAGCATTATATGGGGGGGGGGGGAGACTAAAGGAG